TATAGCTAAACCTCTTCCCGTGGTACGGAGAAATAAGACTATCTATTTAAACATATGTACAAGAAATGAAAAAATAATAATTAAATGTGGGGACAATAAAGTGCCATGCCGTGAATAAATGTGAAGTCCCAACAAAGGAGACAGAAGAAAAACGCCTAACGCGCGTTTCGGTGCAATACAGAAGCACCTTCGTCAGAGGCAGAGGTGTAACTGCTGAAAGAGTTCCTTTTATACCCAATGTCATGCACCCAGCAGCCAATAAACGTCCTGTCTAGAAAGGAGGAGTGGCCAGCTTTTCCCGCGCTAGGTAAAACTATTCGGAGGGGTTGGCCCGGTGACGTCGATAGTATGGGGCGGGCATAGTATAATGAGCCACATAGGCTCCACCCACTTGTCTCTGTGCGAGATATCTTTGTTGCTGCCATCTTTTATTATTGTATGTACCATAATGGTCAAAATTTATTCATCCATATACAAAACCTATTACAGAGTATTTAGAGTGCTATTATGATGGGTTGCTTGTGTAGAGGAAGAAAAAGGTAAATTCAGTGAATTACAAATATAAAAACGAATTAGTCTATTAAATGAAGAGTATACATTAAATTAAACATATATATATATATATATATAATTCACTGAATATTCTCTTGATTATAGCGCTCCATCATATCTATTATACATCAAATTAAAGGTATATATGTAAGATTACCTATAAGTACTCTTGGATAGAACCGACAAAGAGGTATTAATATGGATATATCATATACTATATATTATGAATATAGTATTGATAGCCAAGCATTAAGTAAATTTAAAGTTATATGCAGGGAGTCTTATGATGACTTAGGGTGCTGTATCAACATAGGGTGATGAACTACATATATTGGTACACAGGCTTCAAATAGAATAGGGAGAAGCTCATTCAAAAATAATAGAAAGTAATAGAAAAATAAAAAAGGGGGAATGTTTGGACTACTTATTTACAATATATACAGGTGAATCATGGAATGCCAAGTTTAAACTAAATGGAGAAAACTCCAAAAGTATTGATATATAAATATATAGGATAATGTGTTAATCAGAGATAAATGGTGTAAATGAAAACCCCTCATTAAGGCCCATAGGGGAGAGAGTTTTTAATCTATATATCCAAAGACTCTCTCTTTGTAGTAGTTTTTTATCCAGGTCACCTCCCCTTGGGCCAAGTGTAACCCTTTCAATTCCGCAAAAGCGTATATTTTGTGCGGTGCCTCTGTGATTGAGTTTAAAGGACCACTCTAGGCAACCAGACCACTTCAGCTTAATGAAGTGGTCTGGGTGCCAGGTCCTTCTAGGGTTAACCCATTCTTTTATAAACATAGCAGTTTCAGAGAAACTGCTATGTTTATGAATGGGTTAAGCCTTCCCCCAAATCGTCTAGCGGCTGTCTCATTATTGGTCAAGAGGCTTTTTAGGTAAGCTTCTCACTGTGAAAATCACAGTGAGAGCACAAGATCCATAGGTGAAAGCATTGATAATGTTTCCTATACCTCAGCTGAATGTGCGCGCAGCTCTTGCCGCGCGTGCGCATTCAGCCGACGGGGAGGAGAGGAGGAGGATCGGAGGAGGAGAGCTCCCTGCCCAGCGCTGGAAAAAGGTAAGATTTAACCCCTTTCCCCCTTCCAGAGCTGGACGGGAAGGGAACCCTGAGGGTGGGGGCACCCTCTGGGCACTATAGTGCCAGGAAAATGAGTATGCTTTCCTTGCACTATAGTGGTCCTTTAAGGTGTTTCGAGATGGGGGTGTCGACTAGTCTCCTGGGGTTAACTGATGTTACATGTTCGCGAATCCTATATTTGAATGCACAAATTGTCTTGCCAACGTACATTTTTTTACACGAGCAGATTAGTAGATAAATCAAGCCAGTAGTTTGGCAGTTAAAAA